GGTGGCTAAGATTTTCAAGTCTGGAATAGCTTTTGGAAAGTTTGATGACCAGGCAGACTCTGGCTAGGTAATGTTGATAAGCTCATCCACTCAAGGATCACAGCATGAGAGCATCCTTTAGTTATAGCGATGCTCTGGTCTATGGATTTGTTCTGGATGGTTTGTGCATAAGACTGTGAAGCAAATACAAAGTTAAAGCTATGTTATCTCTGCTTCTATCTGAAGTCCCCATCTGCCCAGAAGGGAAGGAGTATTTTGACTGCAGGTTTCCTGACCCTGAATTACCAGCTGGTGGTATAAACTGCGAGACCACATGTGCAAACCTGGCCATGAACTTCACCTGTGCTCCATCCTCACCCTGCATAAGTGGCTGTGTTTGCGCTTCGGGGTGAGTTCCCTTATCTTGCTAATACAATCCTCCAAGATTTACAGAAAAAGTAAGGTCTCTTAAAAATATTCTTGGGGCCAGCTAGATGGTTCAGTGGTTAATAGAGCTTGCCTTGGGTGTCTAATGACCTGAGTTGGATCCCTGGAACCCACATAGGGGTGGAAGGAGAGCGCTGATTCCATATTCAAAGCATGACGCACTTAGGTCCATGTATGCCTATAACACACACACACACGCACGCACGCACGCACGCACACGCGCACACGCAAGCGCACGCGCACATGCACGCGCACACACACACTCACTTAAAAATAATTTAAAACTATTTTTTACAAGAATAGCTAAAATCTTTTTGACCAGTAGTTAACTTTGCGTTGGTAGCTACCAGATTATTGTAACTATTCTGCTAAGCTAATTTAACATTGTGCAATACCACTAGAGTCATGCACTGAGTTGAAGAGAGAGCACATTTTAAGATAAGGTTGGGATTTCTCCCTTTTCAGCTATAGGTTTGGAAAAAGTGACACAATCAGTCACCTTCACTCAAGGCACCTGTTGCTGGAGAGCTTCTCTCCAGGTTCCACCAAACCCCGCAGTCCCACAATCCACGTATAAAATAATCACTCAGACACTTATATTACTTATAAACTGTATGGCCGTGGCAGGCTTCTTGCTAACTGTTCTTATATCTTAAATTAACCCATTTCTATAAATCTATACCTTGCCACATGGCTGGTGGCTTACCGGCGTCTTTACATTCTGCTTGTCCTGGCGGTGGCTGCAGTGTCTCCCCCTCCTTCTTCCCGTTTCCCCAATTCTCCTTTCTCTTTGTCCTATACTTCCTGTCTGGTCACTGGCCATCAGTGTTTTATTTATATAGAGTGATATTCACAGCAGGCACCATCTAGGTATTCATCATCATACACACACACACACACACACACACACATATATATATATACATATATATTCCACTAATGCAGTGATTGTCATTGACATTAATTTGTAATAATGAAGCCAACTGATTTAATTATAAACATTGCAGGTAACAATATTGAGGTCAAACAGGGGGTTGCTTTTAAGTGGGTACTCTGACCTCATTCACAACAGGGCTCCAATTCCAGCTCTGCCACTGTTAGCCAAATGATTTTTCTACACATTCCTCTGAAGCCCCAACTAGACAGGCATTGTACGATCTGTAAGATATTATAAAGTAAGTGTGTGTGTGCATGCGTGTGTGTGCATGTGTGCAGAGTGTATTCAATATATATGAATCACAATTTAGTTGTAGGCTATCTACTCTTCATACATTTTTTTTTTCTGCTGTAGAAATACCACGTACTTGTAACAGACATAGAATCTGGAGGCTTTTCGCTTCCTTGTGGGCACAAATATAATCCGTTCTCCCTGGCTCTTGCTTGTCTAATGATGAATAGAGAGAGGGCCATCTCAGGTAAACAGGTCACTCTTTCTTCCTCAATGAACACGTTTTACAAAGACATTCCCAGGATCAACTCATAAGAAGCGAGAGCATAGGAGGGGGAGGTCTTGTGGTTTGTCTCCTGGGAGAATCACCTTTGTCTAAATGGCTCCAAAGAGCCAAGTATCTGGGAACGGTATCAATCTGTTTAGAGAAGAAGGGCACACGAGGGAGAGAAAGAAGGTCACAATAAACAAGAGCCCAACATACATGAAAAATAAAGATGGGTGGAAACCAGACCAGAGAACAAATGAGCAAGGAAAACAATTTGTCTACAGGACAAGGGAAAGAAAAAGTTTATTGTGGTCCAATAATTAAAATCTACAACATTGCTTGATCTGTTTGATTGCGGTTGTTGGGATGCATGGGCAATTAAAGCCGAATCTAAACTTTATTTCTGTGTCTGATGCTGTTTACTATTACCTTTGGCTTCCAGTTCACACTTGACATTTCTTTCCTGACTAACCTTATTAAGAAACATAGAGAAGTGCAATCCTTCCTTCCTTAACGGTAGTGAATAGATAGAGCTAGAAGCAACCAAGATGCTTCTGGTCGACTGAGAAAAAAAAAATGCATACAGAAACACTTCTAGTAAAAAGCTGATGATGGTAATTAAGTTATCTTCTCTTCAGTGTGACCTTTTCTGGCTCATGTTGAGACAATACCTTAGTATATTATGTATTTTCCCAGAGATCCTGATAAGGTGAGGGCTAGCTATAAAAGGTCTACACGGACCTAGTTTAGAATTCACTGCACTGAAACAATACAAAATAGAGGAAAAGTCAATATAAAGGGCTTCAGATATTGGCCATCCTTATTAAATAACCTTCGGGCAAGTTGCTCAGTTTCAATTTCTTTTAAAAATGAGTGCAGTGGTATTTGTTTCATGGATGGCTGAGTACATCATAGCATACCAGTTACATGGTAGGTCTCCTGTCAGTGTTTATCACATCTCTCCTTCCTGCCAACCAAAGAGATACAAAATGACTGTGTCTTCATCCTCCTGCTCCTGGTTTTTAATTAGGTATGAAAAACTCATCAGTCATCTGTATAACCAGTTAAGACTATTGTTTGTCTGGGTCTTCAGAGATCATGGTCCATTTGACTGAAACAACTAAGGTTAATAAAACAGTATTTTGGGGAAGAGGGTTGGGAGGAGGCATTAAAATACACGCATAAGATGAAAACGGAATTTACTATAGTGCATTGTCCTTAGGCTAAAATGAGTCTGTGACATATTTTAAGGTAGTGTCTGTATAAGAGTAAACAAAGATACTCATTTTTGTTATTGGGGTCTTTTTCACCACATCCAATCAACTATTTAGTTCACTGTGATTAATCCTCTATGAAAAGTTTACACACATTGTTACGTACTGATGCTGGTGAGGAAGTTAGGGACACAGAAGACCAACAGAAAAGAGAGAATTAAAGTGAGACTTAAACGATGAGAAGAACTCTACAAAAAGAACCAAGATTTAAAGTCAAGAAGATGACAAGTTTGGAAAAGCGAGCTGAGAGTGTGAAACCTAGGGAATAGCTGATCTCCAAGAAAGAAACTGAACCAGACAATGCATCCTTGACACACATAAGTTTCTCTATCCATCCTTTCTCAACAAAGAAGTTTATTCCATGGCTGAACGATAACAGATATCATGGTTCTCCTGAGCAGAGTGTCAAGTCTAGCAGACTGCGTACACCGATAAGGAAGCACTATACTGTATACACAGAGCTATGAGGACAGCGGAGGTCGAAAAGCATGGGTGGTTATTTCTGATGAGGGAATGAGTAGGAATTCAGGGTTTAAAACTTTGATGATA